TGGCCCAGCCAGCTCAGAGAGGAGCCTGAGGGCAGCAGGCCACAGACCCAGAGACCGGCCAGCTCTGCTCACACCCCAGCCTCCGTGCAGCTCAGCGTCCTTGGCTTGCAGAGGAGCAGGTCCCCCGTGCCTGCCCCCAGCAGTGGGGCCCCCACAGTCTCGGCAGCCCTGGGGCTTGGCGGTGGTGGTCTATGGTCACCACTAACATCGGATTTGCTTCTAAAGGACCAGGGTCAGGGTCTGCCAGCCTCTGGCCAACATGTCACCGGCTAATCAACATGTGACCTGGTTCCGTGTGTGTTTCTGGTTAGAGACACCTAATTTCGTGTAGAATTGACCCCTGAAATCTGTGCTGACCCCCCCCCGACATACACACACAGTCGAATATCCCCGTATAACTTTTAACTGCCCCAAAACTTGACTGGTAACACAAACGGTCAGTTAATACACATTGCACATGCTCTATGTGTCACACGCTGTAGTCTTACGATAGACGAAGCTGGAGGAAAGAACACGTAGCCAAGAAAATCTTAAGAAGAACACATTTACGGCACCGGACCACATTTACTGAGAAGGAATCCGCGTCTAAGTGGACCCACCAGTTCAAACCCGTGTTGTTCAAGGATCTGTACGCAGCAGGCTCGCTCCCTCCGAGCTCCGGGCCAGCCGCTCTGTAACCGGCCCCAGAAGGACGCCTCCTGACACACGTGTTCTCGGGAGGCGCGCCCCAGCCATTTCAACGGCGAAACCTCCAACAAAAGGACCAAAATGCGGAAAACACGTTGTGGGACAGGCGGACAAGGACCCTTGCTCACAGTGTGGAGTGAGACCAGGAGGCAGGGCGTCGCCTCCTCCGACCTCAGCTGGGGACCTGCTCGTTTGGGGACTCCAAGTGTTTGCGGTCCTGGGCATGTTCCCAAATGGCTGTGGTTTTAGGGTTAGAAATATGTGTTAACCAGTAGGGAAGCTCACAAACCATGAATGTCCTATGAGTGTGTGTGGGTGTTCAAATGAAGGGGGGAGAGGCCACTCCCTGACCCAAGCCTCTACTGACCCGCCTGGCCACTGTCCCTCCTGAGAGCCGCTGTGTGGTCCCGTCTCCTGGACCCCGGTCCCCGACCAGGGGTAGGCCCCGACTGACCCCAGCCAACAGCCTGGCACTCAGGGGCTCCCTGCAGTCTGAGCTAGGAACACAGAGGATCTTTGGGAAACTCTGAGGGGCTGCCGTGAGCGGGTACTGAGGCCAAGGGGTCACGGCACAGAGGGAGAGACAGGGACGCTGGGAGGCTCCCTGTCCGGAGGTGACCAGAGGTATGGTGTCCTTACGGACCAGCACAGAGGCAGAATGGCTGCCCGAGGTGCCGCGGCTGCTCTGGGGCAAGGCTGTACCCAGGTTCTCACTCACCAGGTAGAACTAGCCCTGAAGTAGATGACTGGATGGACCAGTGGGTGTGTGGGTGGGTGGGCAGGAGGGTGGCTAGGTGGACAGATGGACAGGTGGGTGGATAGATGGGTGGGTAGGTGGACAGATGGGTGGACGGAAGGGTGGGTAGATGGATAGATGGACAGGTGGGTGGGTAGATGGAAGGATGGGTGGACAGCTGGGTGGGTGGATGGACTGGTGAGTGGGTGTGTGGATGGATGGAATGGTGGGTGGACAGGTGGGTGGGTGGATGGACAGGTGGGTGGACGGAAGGATGGGTGGGTCAGTGGTTTGGCATGCTTTTGCTGACTCCATTCTGTCGCAGTGTCAGAGGTCATCTCAGGGCATCCCAGAAAGGAAACAAAAGGAAAAATGTTTCAAAATGAAAGCAATAAAGGGCACTCTGGGTGCTTGTCCAGGGAAATGAAACTGAAGGCCAGGCTGCTGCCCAGGGTCTCTGGGCTCATGGGTGTCCCCCCAGCACACTCAGGTTTGTCGCGGCTTTCACCTCCGCATCACACGTCAGGCAGGGAGACCGCTCTCTGAGAAATGCCCACGCCTGCCTTCCTGCTCCCAGCACAGCTCACACTGGCAGAACCAAAGCATGCTCACCCCAGTCTCCGAGTTCTGCTTCCTGACGAGAGGCGGTGGCCAGCTCTGTGCAGGTCCGGGGGGATGGGAGGGCACCCTTGCTCTGCTGGAGCGTGGAGGAGGGGCGCGTGCTCCCCCAGAGTCAGGCCCCAGCGCCACGCGGTTGCCGGCCAGCGTGTCAGAGGCGGTGGGCCACGTGTTGGAGCTCCAGCGTGTTCCTTGTCCTCGGGCATCTGGGTATCCAGAGCTGGGGGTAGGCATGGGTGCACCCCCAGCTCCGAAAAGAGACCCAGGCCCCGGAAAGGGACCTGCCAGGGGGACATGGCTTCCAGAAAGAACGTCCGGCATTAGACGGGCTGAGCGTGCTGTCCTGGCTGCAGGAAGTTTCTGAGGTGGGACAGGAAACCAGGTCAGAATGAGGCCTGGATGGGGGCGTGCCTGGGGGTGTACAGTCACTAGAAGAAATGGGGACCCAGGTTGGGGGGGTCTTTTTACGTCTCGGTGGCTAAGGCGGGATGAGCCTTACAAAGCTGAGGCATGGTGGGTCAGAGCCCAAGGCCAGAGGGAAAGCCACTCTGAGAGCAGCGTCCGTACCCCAGCCTGCCTGGCCCCTGACCTCGGCCACCCACTGCACATGGACACAGACCCTCACGGACACACACTCCCTGCCGTCTTCAGCCGGCTCTGGCGGTTACCCGTTGGCCTGCAGTGAACTGACTCTGCCCACGGGGTGCGCACAGATGTGCCTCTCCCCGGTGCCCGCCCGTGAGGCCTTGGACTGGGGACGCCTGTCCCGGGGCCCGCCTGCACCAGGCAGGTACACAAGGGAGAAAGCCCTGGGCAGGAGCCCACCCTGCTGGTGCCGGCTCCCTGCAGCCTCCCTCTGCTCCTTCGGGGCAGGGGGCCTCACCGCTGAGTGGGCCGCAGTGGGGCTGGCCGGTTGGCTGGGATGCAGACCCCGGCCGGGCCGGGCCTCCGCCCAGTCTCCGGGTGAGGCTTGGGGTTCTGCCCACTCCCCAGGCCCCGGGGGTGAGAGCAGGGCTGCGGGGCACAGAGACCCTGCTCAACGCCGAGCTCCCAGCTCGGCCATCCTCCCAAGCCCAGGCTCAAGGCTAGAAGGTCACTCTTTCCTCCACTGCATTCTTCCATCCACCAGGTCAACAAACACACCCACTGACCACAGCCGGTAGCAGCCAGGCACCAGCTCAGGAGAGCAGTGAGTCAGCCGGCCCGCGTCTCCTGCCCCACCTCCAGGTCATGCCAACGCTGGGCGTCAGGCTCTGGGATCCAGGAGAGCACAGAGAGGCCTGAAACCCAGCTCCGGGGAGGGCAGGAAGGCTTCCAGGAGGAGGCCCCGAAGCTCAGAGGGTCAGGGAGAGGGGCAAGGAGCAGGACAGGGGAGGGCTGGCCAGCCTTCCAGGCAGAGGCACACTCGCCCATGCAAGGACTCGGCGCATTCCAAGAACTGCTGAGTCCCCATCCAGGAATGGCCATCACATCTCCGCGTCTCCAGGTTGGAGGGTGTCCAAGAGTCGGCAAGCACCTTTCTTGGCTGGCTCTCCTAGGTACTCAGGGGCCCTCATCCGGCACTGGCTTGTTGCCAGAAGCCACTCCTGCACTCTGGGGCGACCCAAGATTTCCTGGGCCGGGCAGAGGCTGGGAGTGGGCATTTACAGGCCCTATCCCCACCCGACAGAGGCGCACGGTGGGTCCTGGCGCAGAAGCTGGGGCAAGGCTGGGAAAGCACCTGGCCCTAAGCATCTGCACCCGGTGCACTGCCCCCTGCCTCATGCCCTTCTGTGGTCAGTCAGTCCCACCCACCCGGCCGGCCTCCCCAGGGTCTGAATTCCACAGGTCTCTGGAAAGGTTTGTCAGACAAACCCAGGGACAGGGATGCTCTAGCCACATTTTCTCATCTTGCCCTAATTACAAGCTTTAGAAGTTCCTGTCATTCTCCTTGACAGGTGGGGAAGCTGAGGCTTGAAGTTGATGTCCAGGCCAGACCCACACACTGAGCGCTGGAGCCGGGCCCTCAGGGCAGGGGCTATGTCTCCGCCGTCAGACCGGGGCTGGACAGAGCCCCGCCTGCCTCCACCTGCCCCCTGATGTACCCATGGTCCCCTGGGCCCTGAGGCCTGGGGCAATCTGCTCCCTGTGAGCTCCAACTGAGGGTTAGATATCAGAAGGGACTTCCAGAGCTGGGGGCCACCTCTCCCTAGCCGGTCAGCCAGGCTTCCTGAGCCTGCTATGGGCAGGCCCACCCTGGGCAATGTGGAGGTCATGGACCAGGTCCTGCAGTCCGGCGGGATTGATGAGGCAGGGCAAGAAGAGGGGTGGCAGAGAACATGGCCACAGCACTCCTGGAGGTGGCAAGCAGGGGCAGCTTCCTCAGGCCTGTTGCCTGCAGGCCCAGCCAGTCCAGGCTGCCCCAGACCCCTCAGACCCCATCCTGGGCGGGCCTGAGAGGACTGCTGGGAGGCCCGCAGGGGAGGGACCCTCAGACGCGGGATCCAGCTGGCCAGAGCAGGGGGGTCCCGGGTAGGGGGCAGAGGCAGATGAGTGACAGCCCGACTTTGACTTTGCCCCTGAGCCCTGTGGCTGAGCGGGTCAGACGGCTTGCTGCCAGTGGGGGCTGGATCTGGAGGAGGGGTCGAGGGCGAGAAGATGGGGCGCAGGGGCGACCAGGGGGGCGGCCCGAGGTGAGGTCTGGGGTGGGGGGCCGCTTCCAGTTGTTTCCCAGGCCCCCGCTCCGTGTGCTCCGCCCCCCCCGCCGCCCCCGCCCGCCAGGAGTAAGGCCAGCAGGGGGGGGAAGGGGCGACCTCAGGGCGGTGGCGGCGGGGGCACCGGCCCGCGAGGGGAGAGCCCCGCCGCCGGCGCACCCGCCGCCGCCGCCGCCGCCCCTGGGCCGGGCGGGGCGGGGCCTCCCGGCGACCCCTCCCCTTCTCCGCCCCGGGCCGCGCCCGCCCCCCACGTGGCCGCGGGCGGGCGGGGCGGGGCGGCACCTCCTCTTCCGCGCGCCCCGCGCAGCGGGAGCCCAGCCCGAGCCGGCCGAAACCGAGCCCAGCCCGAGCGGTGCGGAGCCCGCGGTGGGCCGGCAGCCGCGGCCCCTGGCCCGACCCGAGCGAGCGCCGCCGCGCCCCGCCCGGTAAGTCCGCACCTCTGCGCCCCCCGCCAGGAGCCGCAGGGGAAACTGAGTCCGAGCGAGGGAGCTCTTGGGGCCGGGGAGGGGGTTGGGGCAGCGCGGGGTGCGCCCCAGGGGGCGGCACAGGGCGGCGGGCTCGGGGCTCCCAGCTCCCGGGCGGCGCCCCAGGAGCCCCCGGCCCCAGGGCGCAGCCCACCGCGGACTGCCGACCCCCGCGCGAGACGTGGCCCGCACGCGCTGCCGCGGTGGCGGGTCGAGGGTCAGCCCGGCCAACGCCCCGCCCGCTGCGGGCAGAATTTCCCCTCCCCGCGGCCGCCACATCCTGACCATGAATCAGCCACAGTTGGGAAAATAAACTTCGGCTTCGGGTCGGCAGCCCGGGTAGCCCCGCGAGGCGCGCGCCGGCCTGGGGTCCCGCCTGTGCTGTTCTGTCCGCAGCTGCCTGGGCGCGGGTGGGCGCACACGGGGCCCTGGCACCCCCACAGGCAGGCCTTGGGGGCGCGAGCCCCCATCACTGCTCGGGCGGGGCTCCTCCGGTCTGGGGCTGGTAAGCCTGGGGGTGGGAGGCTGGTTCTGTGCTCCTCCAGCCCCACCCCTGAACCTCCTTCCTGAGGAGGGAACTGCGGAATGGGCATGACCTCAAGAAGGAACTGCGGTCACCACCTCCATCAGCCCCCAGCTGCTCCCGGGGAGCTCGGGCGGGGGTTCTGCGTGCCCGGCCTCCTGAGGGTCTGTAACCTAGGGCCCCAGGACGCGTGGAGGCTGGCCTCCGTTGTGCCCCATCCTGGCGGGCCACACAGGAGTCCATGTGGGTGGAGCTGGCCATGACCCTGCGTGGGTGAGGCGCACCCTCAGGAGAGCTGCTGTTGGGAACTTCCCTTCCCACCAGCCCCGCCTCCTGCCCCCTCAGGCAGTGGGGCCTGGGCAGGACTCTTGCCTGCTCTGGGCCTCAGTTTCCCCACCTGCACCCTGAAGGACGGGGACAGTGGTTCAGGCGTGGACCTCCTCCCTGTCGCTCCCAGTGGAGAGGAAGAGACCCAGAGCAAGTGCCTCAGTGCCTCCACGGTGCTGTCCAGGGCAGGAGCCTTCGGGGACAGGGTGCTGCAGACCTAGGGTATCAAATATCCGCATTCAGTGCCAGGTCTGGAGTCTGGGGCCTCGCACTCAGTGCCCCCACTCCCTCACCAGGGCAGCACCAACGCCTGATTTAAAAAGCCAAGTTGGGCAGTAGCCCCCAGCTGACCGCTGCCCAGGCCCCACTTTCCGCCTCCCCCGAGGAGCTCGGGGGCTGACGGACAGGTCATCCGAGGGGCCCTGCTGGGGAGGGGACCAGGGTGATGTGTCTGTCAAGGTTGCACTGCTTTCCAGCAGAGAGTTAACTCTCAGGTGAGGCCCCCCCATTCTGTGGAGGTGCTGATGGCTGTCGAAGCTAATTGCACACACCCTACATGCCAGGCCCCGGGAGCTCCTAACCTTACATACACTCTGTTCACTTTTCATCAGAGTGCAGTGATTTTCCAGGCTGGAAAAGTTAGCAGGTGCCTGAGGGCTGGGGAGGGATGGAAGGCAGCCGGAAAATGTCGGGCACCGCCGGTGGGTGCAGGGCATGATGCGGTCGCCCTGGCTCTGGACCAGGGCAGGGAGTGTTCTCCAGGGCACCCAGAAGAGGAACCGGAAGGCAAAGTCCCCCCACAGTCTGAGGGATGGGGTCTGACTCAGCTGCCTGGCTCCTTCCCACTCTGGTCTTGCACACAGCAGGTATCTAGAAGTTGCATGGTTCGAGGCCCAGTGGACACAGTGGATTGGGAAAGGCATGTCCACCTCTATTTCAGGACAGTGGACAGAAGTGGGTCTAGAGGAGACAGGCCAGGATTGGAAGGTTGAGGCCAGGCAGGAGCCAGTCTCTTCGGGGCTGTCCCCAGACAGCGCCACGCCTGGGGGGCCCTGGATGCCTAAGATGAGGAGGCTGGTTTCAACCCATAAGGAAGGAGTGCATGTGAGGGGGTGAGCTCCCCATCACTGGAGGTGTGAGAGCAGGGTCTGACCCCTGGCTGCCTACCAGCCTCACCCTGGGAAGGAGGGTCTTGCCCGTTCCTCCTCTGAAACGGGGCAGCCTGGTCCTGAGCGGGTGTGGGGTCTGTTAACACAGCTGCTCCATCTGCGCAGCGTGTAGAGAAATCTCCAAGATGAAGGGAAGCTCTTTGGCGGTGACCGCCAGCCTCCTCCCCAGCCAGGCAGGGAGAGAGGGGCAGGGTGGGCCTGCACCTTCCCCAGGTGTGACTACGGAAGGGACGGACTGGGTGTGGGGTTTCTCCGCCCTGCTCTGCCGGGTGCACAGTGGAGCCTGGCCACGTTGCCCAGGGCCCTGAGCAGAGTCTGTGTGCAGAACGAGCCAGCCTGCCACGTCCCGCCCCACGGCCTCCGACCCTCACGCCGACCCAGTGGGGCATGGGTACTGTGACCACCATCTGCTTCACAGAAGAGGAAACTGAGGCACGGGGCTGCTGGGTTGTAGAATCAGCGGTGCCATTGTGGCAGGACGCATTTATAAAGCCCCTACTATGTGCGTCTGCTTCTGTGCTCACTCAGTGCTCAGCGGGCTAGAGTGTGGGCGCACAGGAAGTGCTTCCCCGGGGTCAAGGTGAGAACGGGCGGGCCCCAGGGGGCACCTGGAGGCCAAGGCTAGCCCCATGTCCCTCGTCACCGCCACAGAGACCCGTGGTGTCCCAGCACCACCCTCTGGGAGTAAGAGAGCTCTGTCCTGGCCAAGCAGCACCCCTGGGGCTCCCAACTGGGGAGGGCGGGCACCGGGGCACCCACCTGTGTGACTCCGAGCAGCCCATGCAGACAGACGCTGGGACGGCTAGACCACACAGAGGCCCCTGCCCCGGGGCTACCTGAGGACAGGACGCCTTCTTCTTTTTTTTTTTTTTACATTTTATTTATTTATTTGAGAGAGAGAATGAGATAGAGAGAGAGCATGAGAGGGGGGAGGGTCAGAGGGAGAAGCAGACTCCCCACCGAGCAGGGAGCCCGATGCGGGACTCGATCCCGGGACTCCAGGATCATGACCTGAGCCGAAGGCAGTCGCTTAACCGACTGAGCCACCCGGGCGCCCCCAGGACGCCTTCTTCTGCCTGCCCCGCTCATGGCCCCCTCCCACCCAGCCCCACCTCATCCCTGCAGTTTTCCCTGGTCAGGGCCCCCTCCCACCCATGGGCTGTTGCAGCACCCTCCACCACCCCCCTGCCTGTGAGCTGGGTCCAGGCGGGAAAAGAGGGGCTGGAAGGTGGACGAGAGCCCCCTGCTCCCATGAGGTTGGCCTGGGCGACCGCACAGGGAAGGCAGAGCCCCACCGAGCCAGAGTGAGTGGCCAGGGCCACTGAGGGTCATCGGGTAGAGCCGTCCGTGGGTGGGAGACCAGTCAGGAAACACACTTGGGGGGGTGGGGGCAGACTGTGCTTCCCATTTAGCAGATGGTGCCTCTGAGGCCTAACCTCCAAGCCTGGCCTTGAGGCTAAGCCAGGGCACAGCGGGTCAGAGAGGAGGAGGCCAGTTCCGCACACACATATGCTCACACACGCTCACACGCTCACACACACGTGCTCACACGCAGCTCCCGCCCCTACACACGCTCACACACACACGTTCACACAGGCAGTGCCCGCCCCCCACACACACACACCCCGTGGGGCAGGGGTTTCTCTGTTCCTGAGCTCAATCTTGGCCTTGCCGAGTGCTGGTGGACATGAGTGTGGATGCCAGTGTGGGCCCTGGCCAGCTGTGTCAGAGGGCCTCAGTCTCCCCGTCTGTGCCTGGTCCCAAGTGTGGCCTCAGTGTGCAGCCTGCCTCCCCCGCCGTCTGTGTCCCCATGCCCAGGTCCCCATTTCTGCTCAAGTACAGCTTGGCACACAACAGCAGGGAGGCCACGTCTGCTCTTCGGCTGGCCCGGGGGGGGGCGCTCCCTGTCCCCCCTTCCCTGCCTGTCTCTACCTTCCCTGTGCGTAGACATGAGTGTCTGAGAACAGGAGCCCCACGTGCCCAGATGGGATCCTGCCCGTTCGGAGGCACCTACGGCCCTGCCTGGTGCTTCCGGGCTGCATGGAGGTGGGGACAGAGGAGGTGGGGGGCACAGCCCAGGAGGGACTGTGTAGGCCAGGCCAGCAGGTGGGACTGACTCAGCCAACCCAGCATCCCTGGAGAACATCCTGGCCATTTTAGGATGAGAAGACCAAATCCTCGATGGGCCTGGCCCTAGGCAACTGGCAGGGAATGCCTCGGGGTGTCTCGTGCTGGACACCAAGTGTCTTGCTCACCCGCCGAGCCTGGGGGTGCAGGGACCGAGTGGGGGCTGCATCCCAGCTCGATGTTGGCCCCTGGCAGCCTGGCTGAGGAGGAGGAGGCGGCGGTGAACACAGTGGACGGGTGGGAACTTGGGCATTTCCAGGGCCCGGTTTACAGATGGCGTCCTGTGGATCTATCGGCGGGCTCAGGGGCGGGCATTGACATGCTCATCCCCGTTGGAGGACTGCAACCGGGGCCCTGGCAAGTCCTGTGGGTTGTCCAAGGGACACAGCCAGGCCGTGGCAGAGCCTGATCTCACCCAGAAGCTGAGCTGTCCTCTGCCCCCAGGGCCCTAGCCACAGCCCCTGGCAGTGCCAGGCAGCCCCTCCCCCCCTTCAATCCACTGCTTTGTTCTCCCTGCTCCTGGGCTGGAGGCTGGGACGTGGGACAGGGCCAGGGGCTGGGACTGCCAGGACAGGCAGTGGGCAGTCTTCAGCTGCACCCCAACAGCCTGAGGCCTGAGACAGGCACACACATCAGGGCATTGAGGGTCCTCCCAGCCCGGGAGAGGCCTTTCCCGAGGGCAGCAAGGAGACGGGGAGGGACATGGGACCTCCTGGAGGAGGCATCTCTGAGCTGCATCTGATCTTGGGGGGCAGAACCCAGGGAGGAGGGATTCTGGTGCCAGCCTGAGGTCTCGGTGGGGCCCGCAGGAGGCC